ATAATATAAGCTTATATAAGATTAATTAAAAGACTTAATAAAATATTAATAAAAGACCTTATAAAATTAATTATAAAGGTAAAACTTATTAAATTAAAGACTTAAACGTATACTTATTCTCTTATATTAATAACGTAGCTATAATTAAATGCATTATTTAACTTCCTTTAACTTGTAAGCATAAATACCGCTACACTTAGCCTATAACCTACACTACACAGTACCTAGGTACTTACCTACCTACACTACAATTCAGACCCTAAATGTTTAGCCAGGTGTAGCCAGGTGTGACATAGCAAGGGGGGTTCAAGCCAATGAGATATCACTATTACAGAGAGTATATGGGGGTTTAAAGTACCTAATAACGCGATAAAATCTCTTATTAATAAAGGTTACTCTTATAAATAATAAGACCTACTACTCCCCTATTATTTAACCTATATTATAGTTAATAGCTATTAATATAAATAAAAAGAGCTCCTATTAGCAGAAAAGTCCCTGTAAATAAACCCCACTAACTTCCTTATTAGGTCACTCATAGCTAAACTTACAGTGGTTAGATTGTACCTAGGTAGGTACTTACGCGTACGGCTCTTAATTCTAGTAATCCCTTTGGTTGTGTTCAGAGCATTAACTGTAGTGTAGTTTTATAGTTTTGTAGTTTTTATAGTTTCGAATATAAAGAATTATATTAAATCTAATAAAATACTTATAAGATTATAAGTTTTACGAATAAATAGTATAAATCTTCTACTATAAGCTAATATAAAAAAGTGGGTTGATAATTAAAGTACTTATAAGATAATACTTTACAAGCCACTACATTTAACTCAATACAGCCCTAACGCGATTAACGGGTCGCCTTATGGTCACCCGCTATCAGCATGGGCATTGTGGGGCTCGTGACCTCGCTGGAGCCTTAACACAATCAAAGGGATAATAAATTAAGGGCCGCGCGCGTAGGTACATGGCGGCTGATTGAGGGTACCTGCACAGTTAGCTACCGATGATTGCTTTCCAACGTTTACGTCTACTCACCCTTGGAGAACTTCGGCGACGTACCCAACATACCTTGGAGGTATGCTTCAGAAATAACTACGCCCAAAATCGAATTCTTTCATTTGACGACCTCGTGAAGTACCGTACAAACTGGATATCTTTTGGAAATCTACATCGGCCGCCTCGAACGGCGACGCTTCCGTAGCTGCCGCCCAGGCATTACAATCGCGTCAACCACGCATTATGACTGAGCTCCCACACCGACCAAGCTTATCGCCACAATTGTGCTTCTCGTCGGGGGCTCTTCGTGGTATGTTCCAGCTTTTCGTATGTGTATACCGTTAATAGCAGTCTCCGCTGACCGGCTTGCAGACTTTCTTCGTTTCTCGAGATCGGCTGTCGACGATACCATTACAGAGAACCTGAATGCGTTGGTTACGCCTTCACATGCTGGATTCGACCCTAGCTCAACGTCCCAGAGAACTCCTGCTCCCGTCTCACGACCTATAGGCCTTGAGGTTTGCAAATCATTCAAGACAACGGTGCTTTTTCCAGCCTGGCAGGCCAGAACTGAGGTATTGAATTACTGCGCACTTGTTGCGGCTAGCCCTGATCCTAATGACCCAGAGGCAACCCTACGAGACATTGAAAAGCAGAAGGATCGTGAAGGAGTCGTAGATGAGCGACTAGATCCATATTCGAGCCGAATTTTTCTCCGGGAACCTCGAACCCAGATTCTGGCCAGCTTTATCCGCCAAGAACGTGGCGTCGAAGAAATAATACGCAATCGTACTTGGAGTGTTGTTCAAGAGCGATGCAATTATTCTCCTCAGAATACCTGGCAAGACGCTATGAGGACATGTGGGTTTGATAATGGTTCTAGGAGTAATTGACCCAGCGGATTGATCTGAATGAGATGATTTTTGCTACTGCCTCAAAGCCTGCGTTCAAAGAAGATAATCGTTGTTGAAGATCTTATGTACAACAGGGCGCAACACGTATCTTCTTAGTCGCACGAAGGATTCGATGAGATATCTTGCATGGATCAGGGCTATTATATGCTACCCATCGTTATAATCGTCGCCACCAGTAGCCCCTTACGAAGTACAGGATAGGGAATAATCGATTGATTACAAGGGGTCTCTGGAAAGGGGCCGGGCCACATGAATATACATATATGGAGCCTTTGTGCAACCATATCACACACATATATACTAAATAGGCCACTACTCATTTAATTACTCATGTCACATTATAATCAGGCGTTACTATTTAGCACAGTAGAATTGAAGACATGAGTCTCACGACAAGCAAATGACAGTTTGGACATAAGCGCCCTAACCACTGGGTTGCTGCATAATCATGGACCAGAAGCTAGTACACGTCTGAGACGGAACACGTTGATGCATGACGAGGAATACAGCACTGTCAATGGCACCTTATACCAAACAATGTACGTATTGCCTGGGTATTTTTGTGTTTTTTCCTTTCACCATCGGCATTCTGAGTCTCTAATGTCAGTACTGGGGCTAGCAACCTCGAATGGCGACTGTATGTGTGATCAGGAGGTGTATTCACGAGTCAAAAGCAATCGCCATTTTTAGTGTTGTTTGACTGGTAGTGGCAAAATATTATCCCTTTCATGAGCTTTATGTGACGAACCAGTCGGAACAAGGCCACCGCATGGCAAAAACGACCTATAAGAGGCAAAATCTAACAGCAGGTAAAGAAGGCAAATTAAGATAATACATATCTTAAAAGACAAGTTTTACACTTAATGCCCATGTGACGAACCCAGGCTCAACACGCCAAAATCGACGATACATTGGTCGAATCCCACCTCGGCACGTAACAGTGAACACCTTACCAAAACTCGTTATAAGAGCTTCTGTGATGGTCTGGGCGAGAGCCCGACCTTGCCTGTTATATTGGCTGTATAGTGTCAATTGAACCGAGGTCGTGGGCGGCTTGCTCAATTCGTGCCAGACCCCTTTGCCGCTACATATGTACGGTATACTGGGTCGGGACATCATGGATGGCGCTATTAGGCCAGTCCTTGACAGTTTCTAAGCTTACGTGCATATTAAAATTTAAAATATCAGAGGACTATATTAAAATTATATTCAGTTCTTTTTGTTTTTCGACCTATCCGTGCAAGCACTCCATCAGTTGAGGCTCAGTGAGAGCAACACAATGTGTCTAACTGTACCTAAGCCAGAGAACCGCAACAGACCACGCAATACACCATGAGTTATATTAATTTGTAATATCAAGATTTAGTTTTTAAATTATATCTCTATGAAGTTTTAGTCAACAATTACTAGTAAGTAACTATTAATTACTCTTTTAAAGAGTGTCTGGATTGAGTTTTAGTGTAAAGTGGGGCTTCTAACAGACTTCTAGTGTGCCACTGTCGTCAACATAAGAGGCAGACTCCTAACCCAAGGCTAATAATGTCTTAGACATCCAGGACAGGGCTCTGATTGCTCATTGAAATGGGCTCATTGACACGTGTAATTGGTACCTTGCGAATTAAAAGGCGACAGGTAGTTACGTACATGTGCAGGCTACTCGGTTAATGATAGGGTCTGGTGCAAAATGCTCGTGCTAGCGTACCAGACATCTAAGTACTCAAGTAAGCATCTTGCCAGAGACTAATAGCATTGCAGTGGTCACCAGTGGCCCGAGTACTCGTGATGTCAATGTGTGTGTGGCATTCTGGTTGAAAACCCCACCTGCCCACACAACTTTGAGCATGTACTGGCCCTGTTGATACACCAGATTCATCCGAAGATCCGCCGATTACAGAGCCAAAAAGCTTGGTCTTCTTACCACCGCATCATTAATGCATTAATACCTGCCTGTCCGCTATCGCACCATTTGACGGCAGTTGCATATCGCCAGGACATATTCCCGTTCTCGGTCGGTGCAGAAACAATTGTGATACTATTCCAATCACATGCCATCAAGTTGATGTTGGGCAACTCACTCTGTCGACTACCATCCTCCCCAGCGCCCTTCTACCCAGTTTCGTTGCTCATGCGTCAGTAGCTACTAAACCATAGAGCATTCCTGGAACCAATTTTCAGTCAAGTCAATCTCTAACTTCAAGATCGCGTATAGCATTAAACAACTGCAAATTCTCTCCCGTCTGTGCCGAAGCTCACATCACCCGAACAAGTAGCCCGCATCATCGTCACCATGCCGCAGCAACTTGCGCCGAAAGAAGCGGCGCAATTCCGACAAGTCATCCGCAGCTATGAAGACAAACAATACAAGCGAGGGCTTAAAACTGCAGATCTAATTTTGAAGAAGAACCCGAAGCATGGAGACACAATGGCCATGAAAGCCCTGATCCTCAACAGCCAGAGCAAAACCGAGGAAGCATTTGCTCTCGCCAAGGAAGCACTGACCGCTGATATGAAGTCACATATTTGTTGGCACGTCTACGGGCTACTCTATCGGTCGAATAAGAATTTCGAAGAAGCAATCAAGGCGTATAAGTTTGCTCTCAGGTTGGAACCAGAGTCGGCACAGATCCAGAGGGATCTAGCAATTCTCCAGATTCAAATGCGGGATTTCCAAGGGTATATTCACAGCCGCAACTCCATGCTTCAAGCTCGACCGCAGCTCCGCCAGAACTGGACTGCTCTTGCCATAGCCAATCATCTCGCCGGCAATCTGCCCGAGGCTGAAAATGTCTTGACAACCTATGAGGGCACTCTCAAGGCTACGCCGTCACGTAACGATGTCGAGCATTCAGAGGCAGTCATGTATAAAAACTCGTTGATTTCTGCGCAAGGAGACTATGGGCGTGCCTTGGAACATTTGAATACTGCCTGTAAGCACAACCTGGATCGGCTGGCCGTGATGGAAAGCAGGGCCGAATACTTGGCCAAGCTGGGGCGGAATGAAGAAGCTGCTACAGCTTACCGAGCGCTGCTCGATCGAAATCCGGATCATGCAATGTATTACGAGAAGCTGGCATCTGTTTTGAAAATTCCCCAAAATGGTTTCATGGCACGAAAGGCGCTGTATGATGAGTATGCAGAGAAGTTCCCCCGATGTGATGCGGCCAAGCGAATTCCCCTAGACTTTCTCTCCGGTTAGTATAACTCATTGTAGACCCTTCACTTTTTCAATATGGTGGCTTACAAGAAATAGGTGATGAGTTCAACCAAGCAGCTGAGGCCTACCTCACGCTAATGCTGAACAAGGGAGTACCCTCCACGTTCGCAAATTTGAAGCATATGTACTCTGATTCGGTTAAAAAGAATGCCCTGGCTTCCCTTGCGGAAAAGTACCTCCAGTCTGAGTCCACGGTATCAACTAGTAAGGACAAGGGAGAAGCCGCGGCACTCTATTTCTTAGCTCAGCACTATAACTACCATCTCAGTAGAGACTTGACCAAGGCTATGAGCTACATTGAAAAGGCCATCGAAAAGGATCCCAAGAGCGTCGATTTTCACATGACAAAAGCGAGGATCCTAAAGCACAGCGGTGAGATTCAGAAAGCTACAGAAATGATGGACATAGCGCGAAAGCTCGATCTCAAAGACCGTTATATCAACAGCAAGGCTGCAAAATATCAACTTCGAAACAATGAAAACGATCGAGCGCTCAAGACCGTCGGCTTGTTCACACGGGCAGACACTACAGGGGGGCCATTAGCAGATCTTTTGGATATGCAGTGCGTCTGGTATCTGACAGAAGACGGGGAGGCTTATGCTAGACGAGGAAATATAGGCCTGGCTCTTAAACGCTTTCATGCCGTGGCTAACATCTTTGATGTTTGGCAAGAGGATCAATTCGATTTCCACAGCTTCTCCCTTAGAAAAGGCCAGATCCGAGCCTATGTTGAAATGCTTCAATGGGAAGACCATATCCGTGACCACCCTTTCTATTCACGGGCTGCACTTGATGCCATCAACTTATATGTAGAAATGGCAGACAAGGCGTCTACAAATGGGCTCAATGGAACTGGCAGTGAAAATGGAGATGATGTACTGGCGAAGAAGAAGGCAGCGAAGAAGGCGAAGAAGGAACTTCAGCGTTTGGAGAGAGAGTCGGCCGAGAAGCAGGCCAAGCAGGACCCAAACAAGGGCACTCAAAGTGGTGAAGCTAAGAAGGACGATGATCCGTTAGGTTTGAAGCTTGCTGCTACCACAGACCCTCTCGGCGAGGCGATGAGATTTCTCAGTCCACTACTCCAGGCTTGCCCTAAGAGTATCGACGCTCAGCATGCAGGATTCGAGGTTTATATCCGCCGACGTGAGTGATGATGACCCAAGCCAGCTAGCCATTATTTTCTGGATCAAAGTATAACTAACAGGTGGCAGGGAAATTCCTCCCTGCGCTACGATGTCTTCATTCTGCACTAACAATTGACCCCTCGAGTCCCAGGACAAAGGAACAGTTGTCCGTATTTGAATCTACTTTAAAATCCGTTACCGATTTACCGCAAAAGGTGTCAGAAGCCTTGACTGCGGAAGTCAAGACTCTTTGAGATGGGATATCCAGTCCGGAAGACAAGAATGGGATTGCCATTCAACCGCCATTCATAGCGACATAGTGTGGAATGAGACGGCCTCATGCTTCAAACAACGGTCGAGCGCTGCAAAATCAATTCGGAAGGAGTTTTCGCAATTTTTGATAGCGACCAGCATGAACAGGAATTCTTACCTATGGGTCACTACAGCTGGATATGTTGGTACGGCGTCTTGTGTTGGGAGCACCTCGGAACTCCAATATGGCCTAGTCGCGGTAATTTAGAGCTGCACATAGTTTTCTGATGCGACGAAGATCTATAAAGCACGTGAGGGGATATAATGCATGCTATTACTATCTCAGTTAAACGTCGGATTCGAGAGGTTGAAGAGTCATAGGTAAAAAAAAAAAACGTCGTCATTCAGCGCGTACAAAGCCAGTGATTGTGTTGGGCTGCGCCAGACCTAAGCGAAGGGCATAGGCTAAATTGCATCCTGGGGACATGAGTAAAAACAATAATGTGTGATCCCAAGAGGCTTGACCAGCACTTGCGATCTTAGTCGTCGTCTTCAAGAATAGGTAGGGGCAGGACGAAAGATCTAGTTAGACAAGTTGACCTTTTTCACAACTTCCTTTGTACAGCATACCTCTGAGTGACGTCAACTGCAAATTCACAGTCTTTCAGGTGGCTATAAAGCTGCGGGCGTATCAGCTTCATTTGGACGGCGGGTCCGGTGCCACAGGCTGTTGAGATCTCGTACGGACTTACCTATGAGGGTTTCTTTTTGACTCGTCAGTACGCGTCGAAAGGGCCATGAGAGTCATGGGCTAGGGTCTCAATGTCCCCTACACGACCTACTTTAGGTACCTCCTACGACACGCGCGGCCCGTTGTTCTAGTAATAGCACAGCAAGACAGGTCTTGAATTATTATCAGCTATTAAACAATTTAATATATTAAATAAAAAACTTAAATAAGCTATTTTATTATAGCTGAAAATCTAGTAACAGTTACTAAAATCTATTACCCGCCCCTAATACACCCCGCCTACCAGAGCATTAACTGTAGTGTAGTTTTGTAGTTTTGTAGTTTTTATAGTTTTAAATATAAAATATTATATTAAATCTAATAAAATACTTATAGAATTATAAGTTTTACGAATAACTAGC